ATATTATATTTAATAAACATTCCACCAGTTGTGAGACGAGTAACATAGCGAGTCGTTTAGTACTGTTATATAGTTGTTTTATAGAATACATGTAATTTATCAGAGAAAGATAAATACGCGCATAAAATATCCAAGTCCTTATATCCCACAGAGATAAATTTGAAACAGCAAAGGGTGACTAATGGAACATAGAAAAATAGACACCGAAATGCGAGTTGGATACTGGATGCAGCAGCAAAACCTTCATTTAATATCATTAAATAGCATAATCATTTAAATTCTGTTGGAGAGATTAACTACGTCCATGACGTGTATTAATATACAGGTCTGCTGACCTCGAAATATTAAGCTATTCTGCTGCTGTGAATATGAATTGCATAGTTAGTGTCTACAGTTACTGCCTGTTTTTAGCATTTGTTTAGTGAATGCGGTCAAGAAACAGAACATTTGGTAGAATTTAATCAATTTAGGTCAATTATTAATAGTTTTATACACAAAACTCTATCCACTGAGGAAAGCGCAATGGCAGTAGAATATCGCGAAGGAACCGTTACGATTATTGTTGTGCGTTTATTGGTAGTAATTACAAACTTCTTTACGTAAGCGGATGAAAGGATAAGCGGATAAACTCTGAGCTCATAGATGGAAGAAATGTGACGTGAAGTGATATTAAATTTTATTCGTTTGAATGTTATTAAGATTCGTTAAGAAGAGCTGCATCGTAGATGAGGTGTGACGCACTGTTCAGAGTTGAGGTGACCGTAGCAAGCTCTGGTGATAGTTTAATGCTATGATATTTTAATGAATCAGAAAAAAAATATTTTTTTTTTCAGAAAAATATTTTTTTTCTAACAAGAATTGGAAAATTTCACTATTTAATATTTTTTGCACCTAATTTATTCCCAACTTGAGATGGAGAGTAGACTAAATTTCGTTTTTAATAAAGAATAGCAAACTTTGGTCGATAAATTTGGCATGAGGAACTTATAATACAGCGTCACAGTCTCGTAATCCGTTAGAAAGTGAGTCGCATTGTAGACAAGTCAGCGGACAGTTGAGTTCAAGTGCATGGAGGCTTCTCTCAACCTCTCACCACGATCGCATGGCCTTGCGGCTCCAAAAAACTTTTACAACCATAAAAAATTATATTTCTGAATTCAGAGCGAGGAATCCGGATGGGCACAAAATTTCAACATTTTTTTTGTAAATAATATTGATAAAACATTTGTTCCTAATTCAGAGAAGAAATTTAAAGTTTCCAGCGTTTTTTTTTATATTATACCGCCATTCTAACTTCACAACTGATGCATGATAGGAAAATTAAATCATTTCATTTCTTGGTTATATTATTTACAAATTTATAAATTGATTGGTAACTGAATTAAATTCCGGAGTCAGACTACCGTCGTCAAATCATTCCGGCTGGACATGCGTCATCATAATGCAAAATAAAACAAATAAATAAAAATTTCAGAAAATTTTCTATGATTTTAGACTGTCATAGAATCCGAGTGGGGATGAAATTACAACATATTAATTCGTAAATAATATTGATAAGACATTTCTCTTCGATTAAAAGTGGAAATCCAACATTACTAGCGTTTTTTCATTCTTTCGCCATTTCAACGTTACGGCTGACTCGAAATAAGAAAATTAAATACTTTTACTGTCATAGCACATTAGATGAAAATTTTTAGTAAATTGATGGGTTACTCAATTAAAACCAGAATCGAACTATCGTCATTAAATCAATCTGGCTGGACCTGTGTCATCATAATACAAATAAATAATGCAGGAAATGTTGCCCGTTTCCATATTGTGAGTTTGTTGATTGTAATGAAGTAGTATGCAAATTTGCCAGCACTGGCAATCAGACCGCTGAGATTAAGCGCGACCAGCTTCGACGTGGTCGATAAATTTGTGGCAGCCGTCAGTCAAGCTGCTGATCCCGACTGGCGTACTGGTTCCTCTCTTATAGGATTATAGCTCCGACGCCAGGGTGAGTTGTTGCGTGAGATAGTGGTCAGATTTGAATGCATTATGAAATGCCGTGATGTTAGTGAACCTATTGATTTATTCTGCGTAGGTATTTACTCTTTCTTTCTATTTTAGATTCACGCGCTTAAACTCAAAACTCCATGCTTTAGCTTTCTCTCTGCGCATTCGATTTATTGTAGATCCGATTAACGCTGGATCTTGAGACTTTGCAGAGCGTATATAAAACATGAATCTGTCCTGCAGCAATTCTCAAATGCCTGGACATTATGACATCACACTTTCAAGTCATTATAAGTGATTTATTCAACACATACAATATCTGAGTACCAGCAACAAACAGTTCTATTATAGGAAATTGGTTATTAGTTCAGACCAGCTTAAGTTAAACTTCATTGCTTGTATTGTCGTTCTAACGTCATTATACAAAGGAAAGTGTTACCCGTGTGAAGCGTTGCTTCAAGTCAGGTGCTTGCCTCTGCCGGCGGGCGGCGGCGCTGGCTGCCTCAGTGATCCGACAGCGTCGGTTGAGGGAGGAGGGTGATGCTAAGCGGGTGCATTTATTGGAGGGTGACTGATGTATAATTGCGATACTGGGGTGGCAATACATAAACACATATTTTAGGAAGAAGTATATTTAAGCATATAAATTGAATAAGAAGTACATTTAGGCATATATTTTGAATAAAAAGGATGTAGATTATTAAATACACTGCATGAAATGATAAGATTTTAAAGCTGATTTTCAGAAAAGCCGACATGAACTTCCACTCGTAAGCGTAAGCTCCAGCAGGGCCCATACTTTCAAAACTGGCTAAGTGAACGTAAGTACTTACGCTCTATTTTCTTGTCTATGATTGGTGGATTTTGGTTGAAAGGCCGTCAATAATTGGCTGATGAACTTACGATCTATTGATTTTTTTTGAAAGTATTACAGGCTGCTATTACATTTGACCTGCAACAGCATTATAAAATTTGTTCAGTAAATATAAGAATATTACAGTATGAGTTTCAAACTTTCAGTCAGTTTTCGAATGTTCTATTTACAAAAATTGAACGGATCTCACAATTTAATTATATGACCCATCAAATTATATATTCAAATAATGATGAGCATTCTCTTGAAATTGAAATACGATGATTTATCAAGATGTTTTCACGTTGAAAAATGAATGTAAAAAATATTTATTCGGAATTAAAATTCTCATGTCAACTCAATGCGTCTTTAAATATATTTGATCATAATTTAGTAATAAATAACCCTTATTTCTCCACACACGCAAATATAGCTGTGTCTACTTTAATTAAGTCATGCAAAAATTCATGACTAATGATGAAGCGTGTCCATGTTGGGAAATAAGATAAGCAATTGATGTAGAATAATGTCTATATTCATCTTATAACGGCGGGTATCGTGCCTTGCGGCTACATAAATAATATACCAATGCAAACTGGATCCGCAACCTACATCTGCTGCGAGAATCTAGGCTCGACCAAAATAATGAAACATTATTTTGTAATTGAGATTAGAATCACATTATTCATCATAATTGCGAAGATTTAGACATTTTTGACGTATTGTTCACACAAATCGAACTATTTCCATTTGATGTTATACGGAAAATTGAGTAATTGGGTTTTTCATGATATAATTATATCGTTACGCAAATACATTTTATAGATGGGTAACTCAATTAAAAGGCAGAATTGACTTCCAGGCTCAAAATCATTCTGGCTGGACATGCGTCATCACAAAGCAAATACATAATGCAGAAAATGTTGCCGGTTTCTATATTGCGAGTTTGTTGGTAAATTCAACAATTCATTCTGCGCAGTTATTGGGAAATGAATGCAACTAAAAGTTTACCAGCGCCATGACGGGAACTATTTTCACTCAGTATCATCCCCAGAATTTGGACAAAAGAGTAGCAATAACAATAGCCACTCTTCCTCTGCAGCCACTCAATATGTAATTGACTTAATATATACTTTAAGCAGTGATAAAGTGTTGCGTAATTCTCTATTAACTGAATGAATTCGTTAATGGAAGCTAATCTAATCAGTGCTTCATATTTATTCATGATAAAGAAATTAAAATTTCTTGCTCCAACAGAAAACTATAGGGGCCCAAGCTGAATAAAATGTATTACTTAGCTCAGTTCTACAGGGGTCAGATACACAAACAAGTTATCTATGACCGTATTTATTCGGGTCATATCTATAAAAAAAACTTGCCGTCCAGTACCAGGACCTGAAAAAGTATTTTAGTAATTCAAAAAATAAATTAAATTCGCAACATTTTTAATGCGTGAAACGCAGTTTGCTTTAAAAATTTCGTCTGCTTGCCAGAAAACTAAACTTTCATCTGATGCCTGTTGTGGGCTGTCTGTCGGTCACGTCACCATGTAAAGAAAACGAGCGATATTTATCAAGCAATCGAACTACGGAACATATAGAGAATTACTTGTTTACACACGTGCGATCGATGACCAGAGAATTCGTTGATTTATATTATCAGTGAGTGGAACTTTTCTTCAGATGACGGTAGATTAAAAGGCAATTTCCAGGAAGTACTTCTTATTTATTAACGACGTTTCGAATGCAACAAACATTCATTTTCAAGTTAGAAGAAGCATTAAACATTGAAATTTTGGTGGGAATGAGTACATAATCCAAGTAAATAGGTTACAACAGTAAAATTTTTATGACCAAAAATTACTCGGAAAATTCTTACAGAGTTCAGACAAATCCGGTAGTCAGAAAATAGATAACTGGAGTCCAATCTGTAGAGACATGGGGCTCAGCTATCGCCGGTCGGTTGTTGTCGGGCCACTGCTTGATCACGATGCTGGTGAGTACCTTCAGCACAACGCGAGTGACGGTCTGGTTGTGAGTGACGGTCTGGTTGTAAGCTTCTCTCGCGTGGTTCACCTGCCCTCCTGTTTGAAGGTAGCTAACGAGACAGCGGCTCGGTGTCTCGATTGTTAGTCCAATTTGTCCGATGTTGTCTAAAACATGAAGAAGTCTACAACCTTCTTTGAAGCAAAATTTATAGACAACACCGGCCTCTCGGATAACTGCCGGGTTTTTGCAGGGGCCTTTGTTCAAGGGGGGAGGGGTAAGTGGTCCCCCGATGGAGGTGTACGGCAGACCCAGAGCACCAGCCCCGAGTACTGCAGACCCAGAGGATGGTGACAACACTACCTTACACTTGATGGTGACGTCACTACCTTACACTTGATGGTGAACTCGGCCGTGTTGCCGGTTGATGTAATCTTGTCCCGGAAGACGCGCTGCATCATCAAGACGAGTTCATCAAACGTCAGGTCCGCGTTGTTGATGGCAGGACACGGACGTCCTGTCCAGGCTGGCCTGCTCATATATGCCTTATATTAATGTATGGCTTATATTATTATATTAAAACCTCATATATATCAATGGGTGTTTAATGTATATATATTGCTTATATCAATGTTTAAATATGGGTCTTATTAATGAATATTTATGGCTTATATTAATGTATGTATATATATGGGTTATATTTATGTATACATATATGGGTTATATTAATGCAAGTAATATGAATTATGCATATATATATTCATGGGTTATATTATTGAATATATATATATATATGGGTTAGATTGTTGTATATTTATGGGTTATAATTAAGTACTTATAACATCTGTTCTCTGACATCATATTAAAAATTGAGCAAAAAAAATAATTAGACATATTCAGAAAATTTAATCTTAAACTAAAAACAAACTTTGTACTAGATATAATTTTAATTAATTGATGATAAGGTTATCCATGCATTATTTTTTCAAAGAAATTTTGCATAATATAACATGCCAGATTGTAAAATGATTTACATTGTAAAACATTCTTCAACAATATAAATGTTCAATAAGTTCCTTAATAAATATTATAATTAGGAATTTTCATCAATTTTCTTTCCAGACAAACAACTGTGAACGAAAATTCCAAAATGGCACATGCGACATCTGTGACAATTTCTCCACTGCAATTGCATATATTTTGTTAAAAAATCTATAGGAGCTTCCAAGTTCACTAAATAACATTGAAGCTTATTCACTGAATAAGAAGAACAGTTGATATATAGTACCTACATTGCTCAACAATCTATGAATTTGAGTTATAAATTACATTTTAGAGGATCTCACTTTGAGATTAGACTTACAAGAAGCTCCAAGCCATGCTAATATCACATAAGCATTACTCATATGAATAAGTATAGGATAGGATAGATAGGATATATATAGGATGGATATAGGATTGATTTCTAACTCTTATTAGCTAGGAGTCTAAATTACCATCTTTAGATTCAACTAGTAATCATATCAGACTAGGACAATCAGACTAGGGAGCGTGCATTGCAAAAAATTTTGGACTTGGTGAGGCTATTTTTTTAGAAGTTTGTTTTTGAATGCAAGCCGACAAGACTCGACGACAGGCCCTCATCGGCCTAATCATCTGCATTGATTCATGCTATGCTATGCTAGCAATACACATAATTATATGCTTATAATAACTGGGAGTTGGAGATGTAATCTTACCTTAATGACAAGCTTGCCGAAGTCTTGACTCTTCTCAGTCATGTTGCTGGCAAGTGCTGCTACTGTGGATCCCTCACTGCATAGTCTGCTCACTTGAGAATTGAATAATTTACATTAAAATCATCTGCTATTTAATGATTGGAGAAATCCTATTTATTTCTGAAAACAAATAGCTCCAAAGTGACATATTTTTGATAACTTTGAAATCTTGCAGCTCGATCTTACACTTTTTTTCAGCAATTACCTAGCAGATAATTATTCTAGTAAGAATCTATTGGCTCCAAATATGGTAAGAAAGCTGTAGTTTCAGCTAGGAAAGAAGATATATATAAATATATATGTTGAGTGCATGAGATGCCTGTTGTGGCCACATCAGACAGCTTGCCAAACATATCAAAATATGCTATAACAAAAGCCAAGGTAGAAATATATCTACTTTTCAAGTCAGAAAAAAAAAACAAGACAAAATTTCAGTCAATTTTCTCCTGCCACTTCAAGAGCAGCAAGATTTGCACAGACCTCAGTCACCACAGCTCTAGTGTTGCTGACCATAATTGAAATTATTTATTTGAACATGAAAGTAGATATACGAAGCATAATTTTCCAATGGCTCTAAAATAACTTTGTAGGTTGTAGCTATTATACGGTATGTTAATTAAACCCTATAAATCTAACTTCTGACCAGTAGTATATGGTTTTTATTAAGGAGTGGCAAGTTTAGTGTAGTAGGTATCTGCAGAGTGAGTCATTGGTCAATCATGGGTCATTGATTGTCAATCTTGAATATTGAGCATAATTTTCAAAAAATCAAGGGTGAAAATGAAAGTTTTGCAGATAATTTTAGGAACCTGTCCATTAAAATACACCCTTATTCTTTATTTCAACCAAAACATTAAGCAAGCACAATAGAAACAGGTGAAATTATCAGTGGGCATGGTTGTTTTTGTCTGGTACTCTCATTCATGATTAGCCAGACTATCGGGAATTTTTTAGACTCTTCCTTTATTAGCAAGGTTTAAATGTTCCAAGTTCCAACATACTGCTGAAATCTCATAGCATCCGAGTCCATTTTGAAAAATTAGGCACAAGACACCCATGGATTAGACAAAAAGCTCCCATGCCTGCATTCAATGCCAACAATTTTTATAACCTTAACCTAATTTCTTTGGTAAAAAATAAGAAAAATAACTTATTTTTGCAAAAAAAATTCCAATAAGCCCTTATAAAACAGTTTTTACCTGTGATTTTTGGGAAATTGTTTCCAATATTCCAGCTTGGTGACCTGAGTGACTCATTTGAAATTAATTTGAAATCTTGTGGCTTAGGATTAGAATTTTCTTACTTGTTTCTGAAATTTTGCGGCTCTGTCGTGACAAATTTTTAATAGGTACCTATATTTGAAAACTCGCGGCCCCAATGTTAACTTTTGTTAACAATTAGGAGGTAACTCATCTGATGGGAATCTTGCGGTTCTAGAAACGGCTGGAAAGCTCTAGTTGCGACCCTAAAAGATAAAAGGGAGATGTTTTCCATGCTTGTTGTGGCTTGGTACCGTAATGCAATTAACTGAAATTAGTCAGGGTTCTAGAAAATTTCTATTTGCCAATATATTCCTATTTGGCATTTGCCACTAATGCATAATGCATTCACAACAAGTGGACAGTGGTTTATTTCCAGTAGCCAATTTTCCAATTTGGATTGAATCTTGATTGATGCCTGAGGCTAATGGCAGTTTAATTATCTTTTAACATACCGGTACCGGTACCTATTTAAATAAATATTTTAAACTGAATTATCATGCAGCAGTTTTTCAATTAACCTGATATTTACTTGATAAATTAAAAATTAGCCTGATTACATTACTGTAGACTTTGGAGATTGGACCTCAAAATGCAAGTAAAAAGTAGAAGTTCTCCAATCTAGTAAATTCTAGTGATTTTTTTGCAGTGAACTAGCATTAAGAACATCCATATTTATAGCCATAACTTGCATTCAGTAGAGCTTTCCTGCCATTTTTGGAACCCCAAGATTAATGCTAGATGAATTACCTACTACCTAATTGTTGACTAAATTGCATGATTGGACTGAAAGTTGCAAAATGTTTTGCCACATTGAATATATAAGATTGTAGAAAAAAGTAGGAAAATTCCAATCCAGCCCTAGTCCCTAGGTAGGTCACCCGTCACCGTAGGTGTAGGGTAGTTAAATAAATTAGAATTGCAGGTACCTAGATAATTTAATGGATTTAATAATTAGCATTCAGGTCACTTGACTGTTCCTATGTAAATCATTAAATGTCAGTAAATGGTAATTTACATTTTTCAGAAATTGAAACAAATTATAAATATATAGCTGGAAGCCAGCTGATAAAAATATGCAAGTCATTGCTATTTGCTAATGCTGAACCAGACAACCAGTGAAGTTGTGTGAAGTGTGAACCATGTCCATGGTGATGGCGACATGACATATTCTCTCTTGATTATATTGGACATTAGCGCACAGCCCGCATGGCGCTCAGGGTCCTGGACAGGATGGAATTCTAATTTTGAAGGTTCATATATTATTTCGATCCACCAAGACCACTGTGCAGAGAGTGGATGTATATTGCAAGATCTTTGGTGATGCTTCAGTAGCAAAATTTATGCCCTCAGAAGATCTTGCCGACACATTTAGATTGTAATTCTTGCGTTTAATATATTTGTCAGTCTTTGGCACACTATTTAGAAAAAAGTAAGGTTTCTGGTATGTTGGATGAATCAGAATGCAGTAAAGCTTGTCCAGAAATCGGTTGCGATGAGTTCCTGCCAAAAAAATGTAAACAAAATGTAGTTGTGGTCACATTAGAGCGGTCAGACTGCATCAAGCATCATCACATATTCAGTTTACATTTGCTGTACAATTGGACTGTTTTTATGGTAAAATTAGTTATTTGGGGTAACACGTGCATGCAACCTTGTAAATAAGTTTGTGGCTTGTAAATAGTTTTTCATTACTCAGCGTAAATGGCTTTTCATTGAAAATTACCCGGCGACGCATCTTAAAAATGGTCACCGACGCTTTGGGCTTTAAAACCCATATATTGGCGATGCTGCTTCCACCTTCTGCACCCTGGCACCAAGACCACTTTTACTACCCAACATCATTATTTGAGGCAAAAAATGAACTTCTTAAAAGCTTAAAACACGTACGCTAACTTGCTCAATTTCTATAAAGTACCTAATCACTTAGAAGTTGTAAGCCTGCACCTTTCACTCAACAATTAAAATTAGACTTATAAAAAGTATTAGTTATTTGAAAATTTGTCTCTTAAGTTGACTGCAATGAACTAAACTTCATTAAGTAATTATAACTACGCTGCAAAGGAGAGTTTTCCATCATGCACACTAAACACCCAATTCAGAGTTCAGACAAGCAGAACTACCGTCAACCGGGGCTACTCGGAACTGGCGGGCTACTCGGGACAGACCTCCGACACGGCGTAAATCTGTTATAGTAGCAAAACTAATTGGAATATTGCAAAACTAAATATAGTGGCGTAAGCGTCAACATTTTTCCCATCTATGTAGTATAAAGGAAGTTGAAAAATTACTACATTTACTAGCTTTGAAAAATTCCTGAAAAAAAATGGTGAAAAATGCTATTTTCAAAAGTTACTTCTGCCAAGGTCTGTAGCCAAAAAAATATTCGCAGTATGAAAAATTTTACTTGCATAAAAGATGCACCCAGGTGTCTGCTTGAAAACATAATTGACAGAATTGTCCTAACTCATTCCAAAAAAAGGCGGCTATTTCTGCATGGCGGGGCTATTTGGGACACCCCCAAAAATGCATTTACAGTAGAACCTCAGTAAGCAAAGGGTCCAGTTAAGAAAAAATGGATTAAAACAAAGAATGTTGAGTACATTTATCTCGCTCGGCGAAAAAAATTTCACTTATCGAAAAATTAGTGCATCATCGGTCATCACAAAATTGTCCATAGAAAGCTATATATATAATTGTGCACCGGGAATCATAGAATGAAAAGTAATTGACATAAACTATGATTTATTTCTCCAAAATATATGATGGTTGTCACTAAAACATTCCTTTCTGTTTCAGGTATGTTTTTCACAATCTTTTTTATAGTAAATTCACTTGACCCAATTAAAATGGCACATAAACAAGCGCATGGCGCATAAACGAGCACTATTGTGCTTGCCATGTCCGTCTGTCTGTCCGTCCGTCTGTCCATTCGTCTGTGACTTCAAGTTTTCGTCTACAAGAAAATGCGCTCTCTGTCACTCACTGCAGTGAGTACTGAGTTATATTTTTTATAGTAAATTCACTCAACCCAATTAAAATGGTGTGAAATTACAAGCTGTCCTGTGAGCTTACAGATACAGAAAAAATGCTATATGGCTGCTGAAATGAAGCTTGCAGTGGACAAGGTTGTTGTAAATGCTCAATGGCATGTTCATGGATACGGTAATATCACATCAATAATACAGTAATAATAGATACCGTCAACTGGGGTGACTTCCGTCAACTGGGGTGACTTCCGCTGCGTTTTTGATTTTGTTTTGCAAACAAAAGCAGGGTCATAAATGATGGCCAAAGTCTCTCAGGCGTTTATGACCTTGTTTATGACCCAGGCGTTTATGACCCCGGCGTTTATGACCCCGGTGTTTACGAGCCCGTTTTTGTTTGCAAAACAAAATAAAAAACGGGGCCGAATTTACCCCAGTTGACGGTAATTGGTAATGGTAATATCATCAATAAAGGAAAAACAAGTAAAAATCACTGAAAATGTCATTTATTCTACCTCTACATCATCTACAATGAAAGAGGAGAATTTCAGAGTACTGTTAGTAATGGATGAGTACGCTCTGCATGCTTCAAATATTTTAAAATGAAGTTTTATTCCCAGTGTCCCGAGCAGCCGCTGTTCGACGGGGCTACTCGGGACACTCTTTTTTTTCTTCTGGTACCTTACGAATAGCATATGGAATTTTTTTTTAAGATGCCATTCGATAGCCCTCACAAAGAGCTATAAAATGAGCCTAATTTTGTTTGTGAAATGTTTCATGGTAAGAAGTTATGAATGAAAAACTTTCAAAAGTGTCCTGAGTAGCCCCGCTTGATGGTACATATCACGTCAGCTAACGTGCTACTGAATTAAATAGGTACCTGGATTCTTTCCCGCTCCCGGTGCATAATCTAGCGGGATGATCAATGCGGATGGTAACTGAGTCCAACTAATCATTCGTATACTTAGTGGTTAGTGCAAGAGAATGAATAATTATATTGTTTCTGATCAAACAAATGAAAACTTTTTCTGTTTCTAATCAAACAAACGAAAACTACTGATCAAACGAACAAAAACTTCTGATCAAACGAACAAAAACTTCTGATCAAACGAACAAAAACAAACTTTTTGAAGATATTCTGAAAATGTAACGTCTATTGAATTCTAATACAGATCGTTAATTTTAAGATCATATTTCCTAAAATCAAGTATTGCATTTCTCTTAATTGAAAAACATTCTTTTACATCAAAAACAACACATTTTTTCTTACAGCTCCTCACGAATGACGAATGAATGCTCCTAATATTGATGAATGATGATCTTACTCTTATAGCTAAAAATTTTAAATTGAATGATTTTGTCATTTCAAAGACTCCATTGATTACAGAACTTTAGTTTTCAGAAGTGTATTCAAGAAAAGTTTCTGAAATAGTAGGAACATTTCCATTATCATTCTGATATAGAAGTGTCATTTCCGTTCTTATATATAAACAGGATTAATAAAATACCTATCAAATCCATCCAATGTCATTCAATTTGTGATGTATGAATGACAGTTTTACTTTGATTCCTATGATGCTCATTTTTACCGGTTGAAGCTGTAGAATTAAATTAAAAAATTAATTAAAATTAAATTTTACTAAATCAAATTTTATTATTTAATACCTACACTAGATGATACATGCTGTAGAATAAAATTCTATTAGAAAAATGTTGAATTAAAAATCTGATTATATTTTTTAAATTAAAAATTAATTTTTATCAAATTAAATTGTATTTTTAATGCACTATATGGTACGTGCTCTATGTTTTATATAATGAAATAGTTTCCCATGTTGAACAACGAAAATTTTCTAAAAGACACAAAACGTTCGAAAACGCGGGATGGCAGACGAAATCATTCAGAATTTGAAGTAAATTTATCAAGATAAATTCAACCTAATAGGGTAAAAAATGGAAAAAATTCAAATCTGGAACGTATAAATGGGTTTTTATAATTTAAAACAACTTTCATTCATTTAAATCTCAGAATGGAATGTGAATCAAATCTATTTATTGTGAAATCAAACTAGACACAATCAAAACATTACTGTGTGACAGTGACAGTGACACCGTCTTGTAATACGTAAACATAGAAAACAATGTTAATGTACGCAGTGAAAGAGCAGCAGTTTATCTCATAATTTTGTGTGATATCGAAAACTTTGTTGGTGTTGTCCAATCGTGAGAATTTTTTACAAAGCTGGATGTGTTTTTTTTATTTTAGAACGTATTCATTGCAAAAATGTGTCCTCTAGCCTGCAGATAAACGACTAATTAACTTGATTAGTCATTGGCAACACGGGATTGGAACACGGGAAGCATGGCAGTAGGCAGTTTCTTATGAGCTCAGTTTATCAATTTTCATTGCAGTGGAAGGTGGTGTAACACAGTGGTAGGGTTGGTATTTCGGTATGTTTTCTTATATTGACATGAGAATATATTACCTATACAGAATTCCACACTGCTCAGGGATGATAAGGTCACACACACTCACACAAGCTGAACTGAAGGCCCTGAAGACGCTGAAGAGTGATCAGTGAAGAGCATAACACGTGGCGAACAATTGATCAATCGAGTGCGGCGGAGAATCGGGTGATTCCGTAATTTTATGGGCTGACGCTGTAATAAAACATCACTGTATTTCAGTGGCGCCTGAAGAACCACAACCTTTCATTTTATATTGAATCTATGAACTTGAACCATAGCATTTGAGACAGATCTACCTATTGTCCGCTGGACCATGTACAACGATCTTATCTCATCATTCTCATGTCATATCTAGTGAAACCTGACGATCGCTTCAGGTTCCGCAAGTTAAACGCTTGTATCTAAGGAAATATTTAACCCAGAGAGTGCGATGTGATGAAAGAACGTGAATCAATCACTTTTTAAACGTAAATCACCCCTCGTCACTCTTCTTCTTTGCAAGATGTCCACGTCGGGTGGACTGAAAGCCACAGGACAACCACAAGGATGACCATTGGGCCTGAGAGCTTGTGTTATACACTCGTCACTCGACAATAAAATTTTACACTCGGCATTAGTGCTTACAGCAAACCGACCTCTTACTGTTTAATTGCTTCAACGCTTATATATCTCGGAAAATATTCAACACAGAGAGTGAGGAGTGATTGATCACTTATTCAATGTAAAGGATGTATCAGGTTACTAAGATTCAACAGTTTC